ACACGCCAAAATGTAAATCATAGATTTACAAAGTGTAATGTTTGTTAGGAAAAAAAAAAAATTCTCACAGCACGTGGGTCAGAAGAGTTGGCTAGAGCCAACGGGTCTGTATGGACTACTTTTTGTAGTTGTGATGCTCTCTCATGCTCCCTGCCTTGGCTGCTGGAATTCTTCGTGTCTCCTGAGACTTGTCCTATATTGTGTTCATCCCTCGGGGCTGCTCTCCTAAGCTTTGCTCTTTTCCCTGAGTCTTGCTTTCTATTCCTCTATTCCATGGCCTTTTGTAAAATTTGCATAGTAATACATTGGTAAGGGAGCCCCTCTGCAAGGCACACTTGGAACCTCCTGTTTTAGGTTGGAAGTGCATGGTTACAGAGGCAGTTGGGAATCATCCTTCTCCTCTCCTTCCCCAGGTGAACAGCAAAGGGTTCTTTACTCTGGTGCAGTTGCATATAGTGTGTGTACAGCATCGTCACCTCACCACTCCTCTCCAGTATTTGATGATCTACACAAGGAAGATCCCAGTGGGAGAGGTTGGGTTTTATTTCTTTGGCTGTTTGGTTTTGGTTTTTGTGAGCGTGCGTGTGCGTGTGTGTGTGTGTGTGTGTGTACGTAGATTTTTTTAGGACGGACTTAAAAGTTCCTGAAAGGGCTTGGAGTCCTTCACCTGATGGTAGTCTAAAGTAAAAACTACTTTCAGCTAACTTGGTTTTTGTTGTTTAGCTCTTGCAAAATGTAAAGTAGGCTGGTCACTCTGAAGTGAGGGACAGAACTGTTTCTGGAGATGGTAGCTTGCTCACGGGCTGTGTGTCGGCCTCTTCTGGGTGGCAGAAAGTCATTTGGTGGTGGTTCCAAAGAAGATATTTTGAACAAAGAATGTATTGGGGAAGGGATCTGAAAGGTGTTCTTGTTTCTTCGTTTGCTTTTTCCCCCCCACCCCTCCCCTGTCTGGAAAAAGATCCTTTGTAACTTTGTAAGGATGCATTTGAAGTTTTAAGCTAGGCATAAATATGATTTTTATACAGTAGCTTTAAAGAGCTTAGAAACCTAAACTAACTTAGGCATAGTAATGTCCCCTCTCCATAGGTGTCCCCACAGAACATGGCAGAGAACCTGAAGGGAAAGGGATAGGATGGTACTTTAAGAAAAAATAAGAGCTCTTTTTTCCTTAGGTTTTATGGATTTTAATTTCAGAGCAGAGTGTGCCAGCATCTCTCTAGCATCCTCCTTAAAGTACAGGGTTTGAGATTTAGTGACAAATATTTCCCCAACCTTCAGACATCTCCCAGATTTGCATCCTCATCTGCTAGTCCTGCTCCCAGTGTTTTCCAAAGATTGTACCTCCAGTAAGTCATCCCACCCTTGTTTCTATTTTCTCCCTTGAAATACCATTAACAGTGGAATTGTCTGTTTGGGATTTTTTTTATTATCCTTCTGCCCAGCTGGCCCTAGCTAATACAAGCCCAGAATCTAACTAATGGCTAAAGAGACTTACCTGAGCCCTCCTCATCTCTTCCCTACTCTAGACACACTACTTCAGCTTTACAAAGACACTAACCTCCTTCCTCCCACCTGTGTGACTTCAAAATGGTCAAACGTGTTGGAGAAACTGGGTTATTGCAAGATCCAAGTTACTGCAGTCCCTCTGGTGTACATGCCATCAGAACTACAAAACTTCCTGTTGAAAAAGGTCACCCTTCTTTCTCTTTTAATCCCTCCATTCCTCCCCCCAACAGAATAAAACACTAGAATTTATTTATACGTATTTGATGTTGTAGGTCTAGGTGAAAAAGTAATTGTTTCACTGCTCTATTTATATATTATGTCTGAATTATTCTGTGCAGGAAAGGCCAAGAAATGCATGTGAGCTTCATTCCACTTCTCAACTTTGCGTGACTGTCAGCTGCAGTTGGCAAGACTCTCTCACTTAGTGGAGTTTTGTGTGATGGAAAGCAGTTTTAGAGCCCAAATTTCTACGGTGCAATATCCTTCTCTGGCATATATTTTTGCTTGTTTGTTTGTTTGTTTGTTTAAAGCTAGTCCAAGGTTAGTGCAGTTTGTGGTGCTCTGGAGTCAAAAGGAAACGCCTCAGATCCTCAAAGGAGCAGAAAAGCCAAGGGAGCTGGAATGCTGATAAAAATCCAGTGTGGAGAGGAGGATGGAGATGCACAGAATGTGTCAATGCAGTTACAGAGGGTCCTTCTGCTTGCTGTCTGCATATTGAAGGCTTGATTTATTGCTGATTTATTCCTTTGTGAGTTACTTTAGCTTTGACTGGAAGTCAGCTACCAAATTCCCTCCTTCTGCTGGGAAAGGTGCAGGGTGCAGTGGGAGAGAAAGGTGGATCCCATCTTTCCAGCAAGAAGCAGCAATGTTCAGAGGCTGCCCCTGCTGCTCTTTGTGAGCAGAGGGTCTGAAGCACCCGTGTGATCAGTTCCCTGTTGCACAGTGAGCCATGGCCAGCAGCTCCAGTCAGCGCTGCTGCCCTCACCACTTCTGCTGTTAACTCTTAAATCAGCATTGATGTCTTGGAAGAATAAAAAGGGCATAAAAAGGCACTCCAGTGTATTTTAAACAACAAGCAGAAGCAGCACAGTCACCAGTGCCACAGGCATTGCTGTTGGTGTTCCATAGCTTGCTCCTGGCTGTGCCAGCTGTGCAGTGGCAGCACCTCTGGATGTGTTTGCTGCCCGTTGTGTGTGTGGTGCTCACGCAGAGGCGCTCGCTCCATCAACACCTTCCTTGCAGGAATGCTGCAAAGCCACGAGCTGCCCTGTGCTTCCTGAGTGTTCATAGATGGGTATTCTCACGTTGCAGCCAGCACCCCTGCATGCCAGGACCTCCTTCTGTTGCATCTCCTTTTGCTCCAGGCTGGCTAAGCACAGCTTAATTCCTGGTTATTTTTTATTCAGCAACCCAGTTTCTTCGTAAGAAAGTTTTATTTGTGAATAAAATTTAATTTACGACAGCCACCAGCGTGCTTAGTTGTGGCACATGGACAGAAAAGGTGCATTTAGCTGTCTCTTTTTTGCTTCAGAATCCAGCTATTCTTGTTGTTTATTTTAATGCAAAGACCACCAGTTTTTCCAGTGGCCATAGACACTCCCTTGGGTTTAGTGGCTTGTTCTGGCTGCTCCAGATGTCCTTGACTGTCCCCCAGGAATCACAGCTGCAGCAGTGAGGCGCTCACCCTTTAGCATGTCTCGAGGCATTGTCCTTAGCTGGAATCCTCCCTCTGGTTCTGTAAAAATTGCATTTGTTGTTTCTCAAGGGGATACTGTCCTCCTTAAAGCTTTTAACTTCATGACCTGTATAGTAAATTTTTTTTGGCCTTTCCTCTCTTTGTCTTTTCATGTAGACCAGATATTTGAAAGGGCAGACGATGGATAATTGTGTAACGTGCAACCTGTTTATATTTTTTGGAAACTCTTAACTCGGACCGGAATTCGAATCACGGAATCACCAGGCCAGTTGCGGCACACTTCTTTATTGCCCTTCTCCTCGTTTCAGTACCTATTGTTTCTCCTTTCAAATATGTGATTGTATTAGCTCTTTCCATATGAAAGAATTCTCCTTATTTAAATAAAAAAAAAAATTAAAAAAATAAAGCAGATTATGCTTTTCTCAAATTCCCCTGGTCCCACTGTCTGGTTATTTTAGTTAATAAAAACAAAACAAACCAAAACAAAACGCAAAAAAAACAAACAAAAAACCACCAAAACCCCAAAAAAAAAAACTTAAAAAACACCAAACAAACAAACAAAAAAAAAAAACACACAACAAGAAAGCCCCAGCGGCCGGGTCGCTGGTTGTGGCCGTGTGCCCGAGTGTTGGCGGGTCCCTCGCAGCCGCCATGTTGGTGAGGCCGGGCGTTGCCATGGCAACACTTCCGGTTGTCTTGTTCCACGTGCCGATGCGTGCGTCTGACGTCACATCCGGTACCGCAGGTAGGGGCGGGTGGAGCGCGGCGAGGCCACGCCCCCCGCGCGCGCGGCGCCGTGAGGGGCCGTGAGGGGCGGCGGGTACCGGTCCTGGGCGCGGTCCCAGCCTGAGCCTGATTCCGGTCTTAGTCCTGATCCTGGGCATATCCCAGTCCTAGATCGCCATATCCCGCGGTCCTAGTGCTGATCCTAAATCTGGCCCTAATGCTGGTCTCGGCACTGTTCCTGCTGGCCCCGGTCCGAGTCCGCATCCTAATCCTGGCCCTAGTGCTGTTCCCGATCCTAGTGCTGGTCCCAGTCCTAGTGCTGGTTCTGGCACTGTTCTTCCTGGCCGAGGTCCTAGTCCCGATTCTAGTCCCGATCATAGTGTTGGTCCCGGCACTGTCCTTCCTGGCCCCGGTCCTAGTCCGCATCCTAATCCCGGCCCTAGTGGTGGTCCCGGTCCTATTTCTGGTCGTAGTGCTGCTCCCGGTACTGTTGCTCCCGGCCCCGGTTCTAATCCAGGCCCTATTGCTGCTCCCGGCACTCGTGTCCTGGCCCC